TCTTTCGAGGGGCGGGACCGATTCGATGCACTTTTGTGCCAACGTCGAACTCGATTAACCGTCTCTGATCAACTGTCTAGTTCCGAATCTGCGGCATTTAACGCTCCTTTTACGTAGGTTATCGGTCGATACATTTTCGTGTTGTTAAAAAATACGAATATTCTATTTTTGAGCATTAATTATTTAAAGTTGTGAATTTTTCTAATTATTCGCGTAATGGTAAAATTTTTGTGAACCATCAGTTTTCTTTTTATTACTAATTCTTATAAATTACGTATATTATCGATCATTCGCTTTTGTAGGTTACATATTTTTCTGATTTTTACGTACGTACATACGTTAATTGCTTACAAAATACAAGCGCAGACGCGCGGCTGGAATGCGCGTGGGAATGTCCGTGCAGTGGAAAGAGACAGCGAAAGGAGAGAGGTATGTCGTGGTGGCCGATGAATCGATTGCAACTGATCGTTTCCATTATTTAAAGACTCGAGAAACTATTAGTTTTCCGTGTCCCCTCGGGAATGTGTGTTTCTTCGCGTGCTTCGTTGTTCCACGTTCAGATTCTTCTTTTCTATCCATTACACGTTGCTCGCTTACTTTTGCTCGTTCTTCTTATTTCTCTCTTTCTTTTACTTCGTTCTTCTTATCTTTATCCTTTGGTCGAGTAGGTTATATCACGAGGACTTTCTGTTTTAGTTTGGGAAATGGGATAAGTGAATCGAAAGTATACTTTTATACAGATACGTAGTAGGTTTAAAAGTATACACAGATGTTGCTAATAAAAGGATCTATAATAACTATTCTTTATGTTTACACTTATATCCAAATCTATCCAGTTCTGGGAGTCACAACAGGATCTGTTGCTGGTTGAGCCGGTGTGCAACAATGCGACAAAAAGGACTTCACAGGACATTTCTCGTGCTGGGAAATGGGCACACTAGTGGGATAAAAAGAATGAGGATAAACTAACACAGAGAAACATGTAGCAAATTCTTTTTGGTATCGAGGGTGGAATGACATCATGGATTAACCATAACTGCGATAAATTATATTGATATACAGGGTGGTTGGGAGCTGGTGGTACAAGCGGAAAGGGGGTGATTCTACGCGAAAAAAGAAGTCGAAAATATAGAATAAAATTTTTTTTATTTTTATTTTTTATTTTTTAATTTTTCCATCGAGACAACGATCTACAGTGTGATCCGTTATAACGTACCGCACGCATACCGAGCGAAAATTCAAAGTCGATTTTCTCGAAAACAAAGCTTCAAACGAAAAATTTTTATTCTATATTTTCGACTTCTTTTCACGCGTAGAATCAACCCCTTTCCGCTTGTACCACTAGTTACCAACCACTCTGTATATTTTTATAAACGCAACAAAAGATTGTTATGAAAGTTATTTCTAACTATTTTGACTATATATAATGAAACTATCTAAAATATGTAGAAAATATAGTTATACTATCCTTCCATTGAAATGTAGCGGTATATGCGTCGTAGGACGTTGCGATACGAAGATGCCTCGCTTAGTTGTTTTGCCACAGAGGATTAACACTGTACGACGCACATAATGTAATAAACAAACTCAGGACAAAACAATTTCGCCACTACATGCAACCTACAACCTGCGACAAGTTCAAACCTTTCGGTACCCTCCTTGACCAGTATAAATAGACGACAATATCCTCCAGACACAGTCAGTCGCACGAATTAATATCAGTATTGAGTCAGTCAGTCAGTCAGTCAGTCAGTCAGTTGTGCGAATCAATATCAGTACCACAGTATCGTGCAATCTTATAACGAATAACATGAAGCGAGCAACGCTTGCGATTAACTTCTACATTTTAAAATATCTGTAAATATAGTTAATTAAATTAACTCGTCTCATTATTGATTTAACCAACAACACGTCACACCGTCCATCACAAAAATAATTTCCGAATTTTCCAATCGTTCTCTATTACTCAATTTCTCTACAATTTCTGTAGTCTAGGAATATTAACCACGATGTTTCCATTAATTCGTTCAAAGCTTCTATTTTCGTAGGAACGTAATGCGCACGAAGAACGACGAGGAACACCGATAATTAAAATTCACAAGAAATAGAACACCGTGGTGGATCTAACGGCATCGATCGAGAACCTTAGAAACATTAATCGGATGAACGGGCGGATCTCGACTAATATTATTCTCGGCTGGATTTAGGGATTTACCTGATGAAGATGCACCCTTCTATAACGTATCGAAGTTACAACCAGCTCGAAGGCGTTGGATCGCAAGTGGTCTATGAAGTATTCCAATTACAAGGAAATTTGGTAAGATAATCTCTCAACTAGGAAAGATAACGCGAAGTTTCTACGAACTCATAAAGAAAGGCGAGACGTGGTTCGTGTACCGAGGGAAACATTAATATCTCTAATGAAACAAAATATCAGAACTATGTAAAAAATAATCAAGTATCGAAGTTACGATGAAATTCTGTGATATTACGTGTGACTGCGGATTGAAATATGAAATTTCATCAATGAGAGATAAATTGTAGCGTAGAACGGGTAAAAGGAGCATGGCGAGGCGGAGCAACAGAAAATAACAAAGATAGAAGTAACTTGAATCGATTCAGTCTGCCGTGAATACGATATCCTCGTATTCTCCGAAATCCGTAAATCGAAGGTATGACAGCGTACGTGTTGCATATATTTTGGTACGAGCTTATCTTCTACTGCTATTTCTATTTCAACTTCAAGGATTCTATTTGAAATCATACATTTTCTATACAAAAATCACTATACAGAAACCAACAACTACCTTCGTTTTACTATAACATTACAAAAGCGAATTAAAAAAAAACCTCTTAAAATATTTTAAATTCTTTAATTTTTGATCTCGCACAATTTTATCAGAAATATCTCAAAGTATCTCGCACGTGTTGTACGAGCGTTCATCGGAAGAAATTGAGAACAGAAAAAAATGTGTTGGATGTCGAACGAACGATGTAGGGAGAGGAAATTAAAAGAGAAAACAGCGGAACGAGAATACATCTGACACTCTAATCCGGGAGTGAATGCGGTGGGACAGCTGTATTCCCAGGAGAGTCAACACTGATAGCAACGGCCATGCAATTACCGGCTTCAGCCCGAGCCATGGAAAAGCCGGTAATTAGTTAACGTGCTCCAGATTCGATGTTTGAGTAGATAAGCTGACAGCCTGACCACGGCTGCATGCGATTCATGTGGCTTGATTCATGGTCACGGTCAAGGTCATCTAACGAATTTACTCATCTATCGTACATTCTACAGGCCAGCTGCGACATTTCGCGCGGTTATGCCAGTTCACACGTTTCCTGAACGTTATTGATTCTTAAATCCACAGTGTTATTACCTGATAACATATGTGTATTATGTACGTATAACGTAGAATTTTACTGTTATAAATTATCTATCTGATCATAATGAAAGTTGTGTTTATATTTTTGAATTGAAACTATATTCTTTTATTTCATATTCTTGTGGCTGACATCGAAACATTTTTAAAACACGCCAGCGTGAAATACACGGTGTGTACGCCAGACTAAAACTCTTCAGTGCTCGCTCCGTTTGACGAATCGTGCCTTATCTGTGGTAGGAACGTCACAGGATCTCTGACAACGCAGCGCCGTAAGTCTTTGCAGAGTCGGCGATCTCGAGATTTCTTAGTCGCGTCGCGAAAAATTCGTTGCCACTTGGAAATCCAAGAAAGTGGAGAAGTCGACGTTACGAGCAAATAAGCTGACGAGTTTACCTTTCTTCCAACATTGTTTGTCTTTTGTTCATTTTCTATACCACTGCACCAGTAAATCCGTTCACAGTCATCCGAGAAATAAGATTCCAGCCATCGCGACCGAATAACTCCAAACGCTATACATAATACCACGAAACGAAAGCATTAATTAAACGCAATCTACGCATCCTGGCGTTGGAATCATTTGCAAGAAATATAGTGTTTCTGTAGGAAGAATGAAGGTGATGTTCGCGATATTATGCACCGAAGGAGCATGGGAACATCCGTGGGGGAGCGTCACCGGCGTGGAAACGTCCCTGAGTCTCGTCGGGATACCATTTTGACTTTTAAGCAGGCTCGTGTGTAAATAGACCATGCATTCATGCATTAGGTTGTTTAGAACGTTCACGGACTAAATTTTAACAAAATTTTACACCGATGCATTTTCATAAAACCAACTTAATTAATTACAGAAATTTAATCCCAATTTTATCAAACAGCATATAAATATAATCTAAAACTCAGCAATAATTACTATAAATAAATTGTTTGCTATACCAGTACTATATATACCATTTATACTACATTCCTATATATTGGGATAAGGGTACAATAAGTCTTTACATAAAGTTTCTGTCCCACGGTGATCAACATAAAAAAGTTAAAGAACCACGATATTTTATACAGTTTAAAGTTTAGGACCTCGATACTTTAAGAAGGTTATATCCGAACGTGTGTCGGAGAACAGAGAAAATAATCAAATAGCCGACGTTTGGTCGTGATCGTCTTTCTGCTGGTCGGCATGTACGGTTGAATCGCGGCCTGGTGTAGCAGCACGTGGCCGTTTATGGGAGACACGATGCCCATTGGATGGCAAGCCGGAGTCGAGTCACTGGACGTGTGGACGACCCTGACCTTGACTGTTGGACAAGGAGAGGGAGACGCAACACCGTGCAGCTGCGTTCACAACGGTACCACGGCATCGACTTTGGATCGTCGCGATTTTAGATGACCGACACGCGCGCCTGACCTAGATCGAGCTACGGATCTGATTGATCTCCTCGTTAGGACCATTAACGTGCATAGATTCTTAGCGACGTGAGATTTTTATTTCGAACGAATTTATCGATGGTTAGGCTTAAGTTAGGTTTAATTTATAGGTGATTAGATCTAAGTTAGGATCGTAGACGATTAGATTTTTGTTTCTTTTCTTTAAACGTCGTTCATTTATTTTCTTTAAACATCATTTATTTATGTCGCAGCTTAAACACGTTAAAGCGTCCTACATTTCTTAGTAATTTCACCGAAGTGAAAAGCAAGAAAGCGCGAGGATAATCAATTTTTTCACACACCGGTAGCATCTCTGCAACCATTGCAGAATGTTTTCGAAAAATGTATCGAGAGCATCGCGATGAAATCTGTGGGAGGTAACAAAGTAGAACAAAGCGGTGAACTTGATCCAAGGGACACGTTGTCGCGAACAAAAAGATGCGCTGCTGGGTTAAGTGCGTGTGAATCGAGCTTGAGGCAACACACGCGCCACGTTGCACGCTGCGCGCGAGAATGCGCGAAAGAGGAGGACGCTAGTCCTCGTCGTACTCGTTGGACATGGTTTGTTTGCATTCCGCGACCATGAAGCGGTCGTCAGTCTTCCATGAAAATTATCGTCGCGCATGGGGCCCAATGCCCTTCGTCTACCAACTTATCTCTCTTTTCCGCTTAACTTTTTTTTTTTCTTTACTCGTCTGTACATACATATGTGTGCACGAGTTTCGTACGAAGTTTCTCTACACGCCTTGAGAAGTCGCGACAATCAAGGAATTGCAGAGGACGATCGCGTCGAACAATGGCTACGCTGTCGTCGATACGTCGCATCGTTTACCTCTTCCTTTTGTATCGTCCTTTTTCAACGTTCACGATTACTTTGTTTTTCTATTTTTCGTTAATACGTTTGGTAAGTAGCCTTAAACAGATGTATTAAAAATTCTTAGAAAAAAAAAAAAAAATGGAGAATAATGGGATTGTGTGTAGAGCTTCCTGACGTTTATAGTCTTCCATTAATGCAAATTTTACACGTTACATTTACGGTGATTTCGGGTTAACTTGATTCGAGAAAATTTATGCGACATTATTTTTCCCTTTTGAAGCAGAGTTACTTTTTCCAAATATTCCAACATATTTCGTATTCTAAAATGCAATTTGGAAGATTCTCACGTATCATCATCGAACGAAGGTTTAGGGAGCTCGTTTTTAAATCTGTACTTATTCTATTTGTTCGAAAAATAATCTAAACACTGGAAGCTCGTAGCAAAGAGGAGTTTTTATCCAGCTCGGCGTGGAGTTGCAAAAAAGCTTTGAATAATTCACGGTTTCGACAACTCGTTTAGCGCGGCGCGTTAACGATAAGACTACGAAATGACAGGTTTAACGGTCGCTGGCACGGTTCAGCCAGAGGGAGCCTCAAAGAGATACGTCCTCCTATGTATGTATGCACGCGTGTCGCATTAACTATGCGATCGAAGCCTGCTCTGCATATTTTCTCATTCGCATGCGATCGCGTACGCTCGTGTGTGGGCGTTTTCATTGAATCGCCCCGGCGAATAATGAACTTTAAGTTCTAGCGTAGCGTAGCATCCTTTTAGTTGACAACAAAGGGGTGGAGAGGTATATATTAGCATCACGTGCCGCGTCCAGAATCGACTGAAACTTGAATTGAAAGCCCCGCTTTCAGTGAACCTCTGCAAATAGAAATTACTCCGCTATACAGGGTACCCAGTAATCATGTCACAATCTCTAGGGGAGCGATCTCTACGTAAAAAAAACAATTCCGAAATGTATATTTGTTTTCTGTCACACTACCTTGAAATTCGGCTGCGCTGTGTCTACCTTAAAAAAATATCAGAAAATTGTTATGACAGAATTAATGGTATTACCGAATTGGAAATACCAAGGAAGAAATAAAATCATGAATTATTCCTGACAAAATTCTATTATTTTCTCTATTTTTAATAGCGAACAAATAATAATATATGTACGTTAACTAACTGTGAAAAAGTATTTTAATTATTAATGTAACGAATGGTTATCATTAATATACTAACTTCAATTATTTTCTACTACTAGATAATACTAATATAATAATAACAATGGTTAAAAGCGAATTTCTCTGGAAATCTAAAAAGCTCGCTACTGAAAGAGTTAATATTTCTACAATTTTTTTTCTTTCCACAAAGAAAGAATCAATTTCTGTTTCATCCGGAGCGCCGACATTTCCTTTGAATTCCAGCTACTTTTTCTCCGTACGCGTCGTATCAGACAGATCTGCACGCAGCGAGATTAAAATCTACGGTGTGTCAGATGGCGCGCGTGTTCTCATGGAGAACCGGATATCATCGCGCAGTCCGAGTGACAACCCAGACAAGGTAGATGAAAAAGAAAAGAAGAAGACACGCGACAACTTCTCTTCAAAATCAGAAAGAGAAGGTGCGAAGAAAGAAAGAATTCGATCGAATTGAAAGAACAGAAAGAAGATGGAAACTTCCTTCTTATTTATGCATTAAAGATGCCAATCGATATCCATCGATATTGCCATTCTCGAGTGGCGCAGACCGTGTCTCGACCACAGCCGAAACTTAAACTCCATTTCACCGTGGTATTTCAAGTAGTTGCTGAACTCTCGAGAAACTTTAATATCCCACGTCGCGAAAGATTAAAGATTCAACCGCTACTTGTCATTCCATCGCCACGTTTCACGCGGACTCCCATCGTCGTCTAGCCGAAGCATTTCACGTTCCCTCTTGCTTTCATCTTCAATCCCTCTCGCTTTTTCAACGCCTCTTCGCGCCTACGTAGGGGGTTTCGATGGTAAATCGTTTGTGGAAACACCAAGCGCTCGCGTTCCTTTCCGTTACTTTTAACATGATTGTACCGCAAAATTTGGAGAACTCGTGGGGAAGAAGTGTATGATGTCGAGGTCGTTTGTTGTCGATGGATTCGTTGGGTTAGATGCATGAAAAACGGCTTTGAACTTAGTTTTCATGAATTTGCGTACTTTTCGTGTATTCTTGACGACTATAATTCAGAACTAGATACACTAAATTTTACTTTGGGTACGTACTACATTTACTTGTTTATACAATAATTCACTGAAACCTCTATTAATCTTCATTAGCACCTAATTCGAATGACGTATCCCTTCAAAGAAATCAAACTCGCAAAAACAAATTCTCTTTAGGAATTCCAATGGTTTGGAGAAAAAATGATCATACAACAACTTACGAGTATCTCGGTGAAACGAACCGTGAAGACATTTAGCACTATTTTTCATTCTCCAATGTTAAAAAAGTGTCACATATAAAAAGTGGCCGTAGCAACAACGTGTTTTAGTGGCAACATGATGCATCCAGTTCTGGGAGTCACAACAGGATCTGTTGCTGGTTGAGCCGGTGTGCAACAATGCGACAAAAAGGACTTCACAGGACATTTCTCGTGCTGGGAAATGGGCACACTAGTGGGATAAAAAGAATGAGGATAAACTAACACAGAGAAACATGTAGCAAATTCTTTTTGGTATCGAGGGTGGAATGACATCATGGATTAACCATAACTGCGATAAATTATATTGATATACAGGGTGGTTGGTAACTGGTGGTACAAGCGGTAAGGTGGTGATTCTACGCGAAAAAAGAAGTCTAAAATATAGAATACAAATTTTTCGTTTGAGGCTTTGTTTTCGAGAAAATCGACTTTGAATTTTCGCTCGGTACGCGTGCACTTTATCACGTCTCGTTATAATGGATCTCACTGTAGATCGTTGTTTCGATGGAAAAATTGAAAAAAGAAAAGATGTTTATTCTATATTATTGACTTCTTTTTCGCGTAGAATCACCCCCTTTCCGCTTGTACCACCAGTTACCAATCACCCTGTATACGCTATTATACGTGCATATAAACCATTGATTATGCTAATAAGAATTCCATAGAATATGTAATTTGATATGTTGGAATCTCTCGCTTCTGTTCGCGCTGTTATTATTAGCTTGTCCGAAAAGTGTCTTTCTTTCGCAAACGTGTTTTTTACAAGAGTGCACCTTCACAGAAACGTGAAACCAAGTCTGTGAAATGTTGCGATGTTTATCTCAATAGAACAAAATGGATCGTACGTAATTCGACAAAATAATATAAAAGAAAAAACGTTGTGTGTTTATTATTTCCTCATAAAACGAAAGAAACTTTTCGAACAACCTAATACGTAGGAAATATTCGAGCAGAGATATAAATTGTAAACGTAAGTTATATTGCGTTATTTGTTATTATATGTGTTATTATCGTTTTAAATTATCGTTCAAAAAGAATTCTTTTTCTAGGATAACGTTATCGCCATTAGCCTTTGAGAGACTAACAACACAAAGGATCAAAACTGTATTTATCAGAAGACCATCCTGCTCGAGTCACTTGTTCGGATCTATAATTTCAATAAGGTGCAAGTGATACGAAAGGTACGATCGAGATTGAAGAGGCCATAAAGGCGTAAATCTCGCAGTGATCGGTAGTCAATCTTCGTATGCAAATATGGTGCACGGTTAAGTGCATGACGGTGCAATTTCACGTAGAGGCCAACGTGCCTCGGCGTCACTTCATTGCTGAAACCAGCAGGTACTTAGTCTGCGTTCACGTGTACTGCTGTTTAAGAATTTCTTTACTATTACACATTCTACATATTCAATATGAAACAAACTAACTATAAAGTAAATAATAACTAAATATCTAATAAATACTTGACCAAATATTTAAGAACACACTTTCTTAACACTTTGCTGACCGCTAGAGGTTCAACAGCATACGCACGTCGGACCAGCAACTTAGGCGCAGGTTCTCCCTGGCGCCGGCTCTGTTTCGGTTTAGACTCTCCAATACCATCCTTTTCGTTCATCGCGAACGGTAAATTTTTCAAATTGATATAAAACTGTGGGAGCTTACAAAGCAACGCAACTGACGCAACTGAGCAAGATACCTTAGTACAAATTACTACTCAAATAATGAAAAAGATTGTCAGTGACAAAAAGTCGATTAATAGGCTATCGGTCGGTAAGCGTCGGCGACAAAAACCGATTAATCGGCTATCGGTCGGTAAAGTGTTAAAACCTTCATCATTTTTTACCAATTCCATATATCGATTTCAGAATTTATTACGATTGAATTTAATATTTACTCTACTAACTTCGAAGCACTGGTTCAACCTATCGCAACGAACACCGACACCGTTTGCGGAGAAAAAGAAGCAGCGACAGCAATGGAGCAATGGCAGCCACCGTTGATGTTGAATTTCAAAGGGAACAATGACAGACTGACGGTAATATCGGCCTCAGGAGAACTTAATCACGAAATGTCGGCCGAGTAAACTAAAGCCGTGGCTAATATTTCAATGTCATGGTGATTTCTCCAGATTAAGAAAGACAAGTTGCAGAAAAATCGTTTTTACATAAATAAGGACAATCCTCTGTGTAATCTTCCTCTATTGATCAGCAATTTTAACCAATCATAACCGATAATAACCCGACATGATAATTATCGCGAGAATTATTTGAAGCAACGTTTAGGTTACTAGTGCCTTCGTGTAGTATCTTTGTTATCTTGAAATTTTCCAATGGGAAATCGATTTACTCGTGAAAAAGGTGTGAATATCTCGGACAGGTCTTTATCGAAGTCCATTTCACGATCATGATTCTGAAAATTGAACGTGCACTATTCTCACTGGTGGACACTGGTGAGGGTGTATCGGATGAAACGCGAGAGGTCCCAGGCGGCCTCAGAGGGGACGAAATAAAAGCGATCAGAAAAACGGATAGAGAACAGAAGCTGAACGAACCGAGAAGAGGTGACATTTCAGATATGAGTTTCGCGGTGAACCACAGTCGGCGGTTGGCGAGGTCAGTGGCGCTTTGCAGAGAGCCTGATGGCGTCTCTCTCTGAGAAAATCGACGTTAAAAATAACTTTTCACCGGCCGACAATAGAACACGCGATTCCGCGGACAGACGCGTCCAGAGTGGCTCGTATCCACTTCGTCGTGCATGTCCACGCGCACGAAACATCGATTTCCCTGGTGTCGCGTTTATTTCAACGTTTTCGTTAAATCGGCCCTCATTGCTGATCGTTTTGATCCGTTGATACATGTCCGTTAATTAACTTGTTAAACGACGAAACCGAGCTAACTGGTTATCTGGATCGATAATTTATTGCACGTATTAATTTCTTTACTTGGAAAATTTAAAAATAGATTCTACATTATATACTTATGCTCGTAATACTTTGAGATATGTACTTTGAAACTGTTATAAGTTTTTAGTTTATATAACTGACACGATACGTAAGATTTTTGTATGTGCATTTAGATCAAGGAAAATTTCAACAAATATAACGATCGAATAACAGTATGATAGTAAAAACGTCGATAAAATATGACTGTATCATGGAATCATCGCTAAGACATTCCTAACACCGCAGAACGATAATCACGACAATAATCACGACGATTGGCAATGATTAAAACATCGGTATATTAAGTTTGATTTGGCCTGTGTGTTGACCTAGTGCCAGCAATCGCGTTTACGTCAGACAACCGTGAGAGACTCGACTTCATCGCCTATCTATCATTCAGTCATAATTACCGGGCGAATTATAATAAAAGAGAAGAGAAGATAGCCGGCAACCGATGGTTTTGTTCATTTTCTGCGATCGATCGTCCACGTAATTACGCACGAGAGTGGATAGTTATATAAACGCGTTCTTTGTTGTCCGGGGAAAAAAGAACAGCAATTAATAGGGCGTATCAAGCGTGGCGCGTGCTGTTGCTTTGTTTTCGCGATAGAGGCTCTTTCTCTAATAGGATTTATCGATTCTCAAGAATCTTCAAGAAAAGTTAAAATATTTGATTCACATCATCGATCGAAGTTAGTTTTTAATCGATATAACGTTTACTTGTAATTTTTAGTAATTAAACATTTATTTCTATCTTTGTTTTATAATATAAAATTTAAAAATACATTTTTTGCGATTTGCGTCGTTATTTAAACGTCAATCATTTCTATTGCTGCTTTAATCACAGATTCAATTTCCACACCAATAAAGCTTGAAAATAAGTAATAATGAAATAATCACCGAACTTACTTATATAGGAATCAATTTGTATACCTTATAGGCGAATCAAAGATTGTCCATTATAAGAAATTATAAAATTGCCCATGATAATTGTAGAAATATTCGATAGAAAATTACTTAATAATCGTAATGAATATCTGGCGCCATTTCTGATAATAGTAATATTATTGCATCAATTATTAGATAATTACCTTCAATTATATCACAGCGTGAAAATCAACGCAAAAAATAACTATAAAGCAAGAATTACGAAGAAATTCAAATAAAATAAAGAACAAAATTAATGACAATTGACTGAAAAAGAAAAAAGGAAAAAGTATAGATGAATAAACGAGAAACACGAACGACGAGGTATCCGGCGTTCTCATACATCATTTGCTAATTCATTGCAATTACTGTTGGTTTGATAAACATCGATGTAATATTTACATTGTTCTCACTTATGCGACTTGGGTTCAGAGAAAATCGTCTGTCATTACATCGAAAACGAAACGACAGTCGTGTCTATATTTTTTGACAATAGCAGTAATCATGTTTCCTAAGATTTGATTACATCATGAACGATAGTTTATTAACGAAGGCACTTGCAACCTTGTAACCTATTATGCGTAATAATTATGTTTTAATAATATATGTTTATATATATTAATAATATTATATATATTATTATATATTATATATAATATTATATATATTAATAATATGTTAATAATATATATTTAGTAATAATTAATTATGTGTAATATTTAAAAATAAGACAGTGTTCATTATTTACTACTATACAGATTTAACGATACATTATTAAATCATAAAAAAGTATGAAAAAATTGACGATGCTTTAAAAAGTTGTAAAAAAAGTTGTAAAAAAGTTGTAAAAAATTTGAACTCTCGAAACACCCCCTTATATACATCGCCATAATTCTCAATCCACGAAATAAAGCCAACCCTTTGTTTCCATTCTCATAAACTGCGATCGATTGAATTTTATTTTAAAAACCTGTGCAATTGGAGCACGCTCTCTCATTAGCCGTAAAAATGTCGAAGGAAGAATCGCAGACCGCGTACAGAAGCTCTACACACATATAGCCTGCGCATACAATACTCACTATTCATTGAAAAGCTTCTCGCAAAGCATTCTCGCGACCAGATGTACGCTACTTCCCCCACTCTTCTGCAAAGGATCCATCAATACTCGCGGGCGAATCTAAAAAACCGCGGCGTCATTCATCGCGACCGTAGACACAGCTCTGTCGATAATGAGGGAGAAGATGGCGGAAGTACGACGGGTGCGCAGAGAAGCGGGGCAGAACGAGCCAAAACGTTCTCATTTTTCTTTCTCTGGGCGTTGCTGGTAAAGTTGAGGTAGTAATTGTAACGGAACCATTAAAAGCTGCGACAGAATTCTCCGGCAAATATTAGGTACGACCTCGATTGTAGCCGTGACGGTGGATGAAGGCGATAATAAAAGTATCGTACGTAGTAGTAGTGATAGTAGTAGTAGTCTCGTACGCGCGGTAGTAGAGTACGAATAGTAGTAGTAGGAGTAGTAGTAGGTGGTCGGTCGCAGTCGCAGTCGCAGTGGAAGCAGAATCGAGCCTCTCTGGAGGGAGGTTTCGAGAACGAGAGACTGAGTAGGGGATGGTGAATGTGGTAGTGTAGGGGGGGAGATAGAGAGAGAGAGAGAGAGTGTCTGGTTGCGCTAGGTTCGCTCGTTGCAGTTGCAGCACTTCGTAATGAATGGTGCATCGCGCGCGGGGCAACGCCCTGTCAGCCAGCTGACTGAAATCAACCGAATCGAACCGAATCTTCCCGAATATCGCCGAACGACTTCTCAAACGCGCGCTTATCTTGACACCACTCCCAAATATTTTAATATAAATCAGCAATTTTACTTATTATTACATTGCCTGATGATAATTAGTGGATGCTTATGCATTTATGGGAAATTCAATCTTACAAGAATGCACAGAATGCATATAATATGCGAAAATATCCAAAGTTTAGTTCTAATTAAATTTATGAAAGTACGAATATGTACAAACATCTGTTGTCTAGTGAAGATAATTGAGCCTTCAGAAAAAAGCTGACCTACATCTTTTGTAAATCTCTCAATTTCGCTATCTAGAAATACAATTGACATATTATCAAAATATAACATGTACTGCAACATAACTTTGTCTAACCTTCAAGTGAATCGATATATCTATATCATATTTCAATTATAATTTCACAAAATAAAATTTCAAATCTTTATCGTCCAAATGCAGCATAAAATACCATTCTGAAAAAGTAACTGAAGTTCGAACTAAATGAGCCAAAGCTGCTTTTCTCCGAGATCTATCAAAGCCTTTTTCGCATCCCGTCCTTACGTCTCGAACAGAGAAATACGAAAGACGAGACCAAAACGAAAATGAACGAAAAAAGAGAGAACATGTATCCGGACAGATCGCGTTAGCATGTCGACGGGACGAGTTGCGAAGAAAGGAGACAGCAAGTTCTCTCTGTAATCGCAGTCATCCCCAATAAACTGTTTGCCCGACAACCCGACCCGGTTTGACATCTGCACACAACTACATATACATATATATGTATGGATCGGCGTTCAGGTTCACACATACACGCTGTCCCTTTTCTCGATAAGGCTATGACTGTGCCTTCAATTCGCCGATTCTCGAAACTGTGCCGATCCGTAAATGGGCCATTCGCAAAAGGTTCTGAGAACAAACCTTGTGTGATCTTACAAAGGTGGGATACATTACGTGCGAACTTGCTCCGTTTTGTTCATATACAAGCGCCACTAGAAGTGGCAGAACTCTACCTTATCATCGTGATCGCACCTTGGTATTAGAGTGTAGAGAAGACAACTTCGTGAAGTTTGATATAGGATTTCGTCACTGTTCCAGTGAAGATGATTGTTTATACGTACCTGAAACAGAAAAAGGAATTATACGTGTTAGATATGTGTATTGTATTGTGAAGTATTGTGTTGTGGTATAGGGAGGTATAAAACGTATTATTCCTTATATATATGCAGTAAAAGAAGATTATATTATATAGTGAAATGATATTGCGAAATGTAAAAAAATAATCCTTTTTCCGGATTGACGATACTTGAATAAATTTTACATTTACATTTGGGAAAATTAGAATCTACCTTAAATTGACTTGTCTTTATTAACTTTGTTATTGAATTAACCTTATAACTTGATTATTCCATTTACTCTAATTTCCATTTTAATTCATTCCTATTTTCAGCCCTGTTGATGCTTTGTAATTCCATTCTCCCTCGTGATTAAATCACCGACTCTATACAATTTATGCTGTATTAAAACCTTCCTTCTTTACAGTTCAATTAATGCCCTTAAACAGAAACATTATTTTCAAAATATAATTTATTACGATATCCAATTCTGGAATCTTTCGCAATTTTCACGTTAACAATTAACATATGGTTTAGATTATATTCATCAAAAGGGGGGAAGATCTGTATTGCTTTAGGCAGCTAATAGACAGAAGACGGAAATAACCGTGTATAAACATAAAACGGATTAGGGACGGTAACCCAGAAAAGAACTGTAACTAGATAAAAATCCCGTTTGGACAACCTGATATTGGAATACGCAGGAGAGACACGCTGTCATAGAGGGATAGGGAATAAACTCCTCGGCGAGGCAACGAACTCGCCAGAGGCTAGTTGATGCAAGCCTTGTAATACGTGCAGCCTCCGCAAGAAGGGGGTTATTTGGTTTTGGAGCTTGCCAGGGTGAGTTCCAGCAGCGCTGCTCTGCACCCGACACGGGATGGGCGAGGGCAACGGGCGTGATGTCACGCCCTGCTCTGCAGCAGCAGCACGAGAGGAGAGGGAGCGATTAGAAGAAAGATGACCAGCGACTCCCTCTCGCTGCTGCTTCCAGGTATACAGGGTGTTTCGGTAATCATCGTACAATAGGCAAAGGGAGATTCTATATGAAAAAACAGGTGGAAGATATAGATTGAGATTTTTTCATAGGACCTTTCGTTTCTGAGAAAATGAAATTTGAGAATTGGTTCGCACGAACATGCGTGTGCCAATTCTTAATTAAACACGTCCACGCTCTATTTCCTTGAAACAATTTCGTTTTTATGGAAGAGGGAGCGCCGTATAAAACTTCTATCCTATATGCACGATTTATTTTTTCACGTAGAATAATCTTACTAATTGTATCACGATTACGAAGACAACCCTGTATAACGAGAAGAAGGGCAAAAAGACAGAGAGAAAGACTGAGAGCGAGATGTGGATGTGGTGAAATGAAAAGATCCCGGAAAAACTGTAAAGCATGAAAAATGAATGATGAGTATGCAATGTGAAAATGAAACGGAGAAAAAGAAGACGAGGGTGGACTGACAGAAACTCGATGGGGTGTATCACAATGGAAATGAGGAAGCAGCTACGATAAACAATATATGTGTTATATATATATATTAGGTTGGGCTAGGCACGCCTATAATTGTGGATATAAGGAGGCTATCATAATGTTAGTTATAATTAGATTGCGCGTTTTTATACAAACTTTTATTTTCATGAATGCAAATAAAGAAACAAAATTTAAAAGCAAAGTTGGTTTATTTAGTAGCAATCACAGAGAACACCATATTTTGAATATTTTGTGTATATTTGCACATGAAAACTGCAGGAGTTAGTTCTAAAAAATTTGCTTACTAAAAGTTCACTAATGATAACCAAACGATAACTCTGAAAATTACAAACTAAAAACCTAATTGAAAAGAAGAAAAGAAACAGCAAGGGCGTGAAGAAGACAAAAAGAAAAAAAGCTGTTGAGAGGAAAATAGTGGAACAAACGGAACGGAAACGAAAAGAGAATGAGAGTAGCGTACGAATCAGAAGAGGGGCAAGGAAGAAGAGAAACCTCTGGAAAAAGAGGGGAATGGAGAGACGAAAGAGGGGGAATACGTAGTAGAAAGGAGCGTCGCCCGGGCGAGTGGGATATCGAGCGACGTCGGGACGCCGACCCACGCAAGCCGTGACGTCACGCGACGCGTCAGCTGCTGCTTCCGCGCAGCAAGCCGTGCACTAAGCTCTGTGGACCCCACCGGCTTCTCGTCTTCCCGGATCTACGCCGGGTCTTCCTCATTCTGTTTGCACGGACGAAAACGTGCTCGCCACATGTGCCCGGTTTATGTACACCACGTTACACGCCTCTACGCGTGTTTTTATTTTTAGTTTTAATTTCTCTTTCTCTGTTTCTCTATTTATTCGTCGTTCATGCTGCAGTGAAACATGGACAGATCCAGGTTTCTTTTTTCGGAACTGCGTACATTTAATCAAGAGTCTGTCTTTTTCTTTTGAGCTTTGTTGCAACTTACTCGCAGGTTTTAGAGACGGATTAGTTTTAAGATAATCATTGGCAAAGAACATATAGATTTCAACTGTTTTAAGTATTAGAATTTTGGAAATTGGCGTTTAGAAACGAAAAACTTGGGAATATTCTAGAAACAAATATTAAATAATATATTTTTGACGTTATAACTTCACATAATCTCTCCTTAATATTTCATATTACGTAATATTGTAATACTTTAAGCTTGAGTAGAAAAGATGTGAAAGTT